TCTCTCTCTCTCTCTCTCTCTCTCTCTCTCTCTCTCTCTCTCTCTCTTCTGTTCGTTATGTATGCGGTGTGCATAACAGCGAAATGTAATGTGATTGAAAATTCATATGTAGCCCGAAATTATTCATCTGATTATGTAAATGATGCATCGCATCGAATTAGGTAGCCGTAGGATGCGTTAGTTTAGAGTGAAAAACCGTACGTGAACAGTATACTACACAGATGACAAAGTGCGAGCGAGAGAGTAAGAGCGAAAAAGATACACAAAGAGCAAGCCAAACGTGCTGGTTGTGTGCTCATGGTTGTATTTATTAATCAAGTTTCAGATGAATGGGCTCGATTTGCCGTTTCCGGGTTGGATGGTTTCCAGCATATTTGGACAATTTAAACGAATGCCATTTAATATTTTTCAAATTAATTAGAAGGATATGATGAGAAGAGACGCCACTCGGTAACACTGTGTGTGTATGTGTGAGTGTGTGTAACTGTGTATACGACCAATCCTCAAAGCTGCAATGTGATACGATTTCCAGCGAGTGAATAAGAGAAACAGGCATTGAATAGAGCATAGAAAGAAAAAAACAATACGAAAAAAAGTGGGTTCTCTATGCATGTGTGTGTGTGTGTGTGTTGTCTTATGCCGCCATCATCATCATCGTCATCGCCGCATTTCCATTTCATGTAAAACATTCGGTAAGTCTCTAGAACGCTCGACCGATATGTTTTTTTATGAATGCGTGTGCGCTCTTTCATAGTCGCCGTTATTTTGATGCGTACGTGTTTCGAAGCATGTGGTTTCAAAACACGCCACTCACACTCCACCGCACATATTCTCGAACCCCTCTTCCAAGCTACGACGGAAATCTACACAGACACACCACACACACACAGCGGAATATTGAAATTAAGGCCGTGAGGGATAGAAAAAAGAATCCAACAACAACAACAACAACATTTCTCGAAGAATTGTTGGATACACGATTCGATTGAGGGTTGCGTAAACACATCGAGAAATTTCGGTCAAATAAAAGCTACCGACTTCATTTTCGCCAAAATTCCCAAATCATTTGCTCGATTTAATTCTTTTTTACCGATCCAAGCCCATTCTCTCTATATATCAGCGGGTATAAATTGTTGATACGCCATGCATTTGCAGTGAGCTTTTGTTCCATTGCCACCGCTTACTTGCTTGCTCTTCTGATTTAATGCTGCTGCTGCTGCTTCTGCTGCTTCTGCTCGGGATTCGATATCTCTCATCACTTTTATCATGATATGAAACACAAGGAAAATTTATGATTTACTCACTACACCATTTGGCTAATGGAATGCACCGAAACAATGCATCGAACAGGCAAACGTTCGCCAAATGCGAACAATGTCTCCTGTTTACTCTCTGCCTCTCTTTCTCACACGGTCAGTCTTTTGCACTCTCTTTCTCCCTCACTCTATGTCACACACTCTTTCATTCGCTTTGTACACAGAGCAGCGGCTCCAGAGTGAGTGCTCGACAGCATTGTATACTAGAATATTTCCAGAGTATCTTCACAATAACAATGATATTTCCGTAATATTTTTGCATAAAACTTTAAGTAATGTGAAACCAACTACAACCAGCAAATTGCAACAAGAACAAAAAAAAATGAGTGAGCAAGCGAAAGAGAGCGAGAGCGAGAGAGAGAGAGAGAGGAGGAAAGAAAATTGAACAAAAAAAGAACACACTGAATCAGAAGACCAAAGCGAAACGCATACACATTCATCGCATTCGAAAATGAATGAAAGTGGAGAAAGACAGTGAATACAAAAAATACGACAACGACTTTTATGATAAAAATATACATTTTCTAGAAAAGATCATTAAATTGTTTCATTTTCATATTGCTGCACATCAAAAGCCTAACGAATAGAACTTGCATATTAATAATAATGAAAAAGAAACGCAAACAATACGAAACGAAACGGCGAACGAGGTAAAATGCTAAACATTTCTGTCATTAAATATGTACGATTCGCTTTCGTGATTGCAATAAAATGTTTCGCTCTTCATGTACATAAATCATTTTAATTCAGCAACAAATTTCATCCTATATTATCTATGTGTGAGTGTGTGTGGCAAAGAAAACGTGACTCTTGCTCATATATCATCGGCGCATTTTTTGTTTCACCCTTTTTGTTCTCTGTTTCACAAAAAAAAACCATATTTAAATTTCTTCAAAACGAAAAAAAATGAAATTTATTAAATTCTATTCTTCTGTTTTTCCCTCTGTAGGCTGCAAGATAAAAGCGTTGAGAGCAAAGACTAATACGTATATCAAAACGCCAGTTCGTGGTGAGGAGCCAGTATTTGTGGTGACCGGTCGCAAAGAGGATGTATCGAAGGCAAAACGTGAAATTCTATCGGCTGCTGAACACTTTAGTTTGATTCGAGCATCGCGTAAGCCATCGTTGAGCGGTGCATCGGGCAAAGGAACACCAGCCGGTCCACCGGCCAATGTGCCCGGTCAAATCACCATACAAGTGCGTGTACCATACCGTGTTGTTGGTTTGGTGGTCGGGCCAAAGGGTGCAACCATCAAGCACATTCAACAGCAAACGCATACATATATTGTGACACCATCACGCGACAAAGAGCCCGTATTCGAAGTTACCGGCATGCCTGACAATGTACAGTCGGCGCGGCGTCAAATTGAAGCGCACATTGCATTGCGCACCGGTAACGCTGCATCGGCTCTAAACGGCCTCAATTCCGGTCTATTGAGTGAATTGAGCAACAGCAACGGTGGACTGAGTTCATTGCTCAACGGCGAAGACACACCCGAAATCTTGGCATCACTGTACAAAAACGGTCTTGGCTCATTGTTTGGCTATCTTGACGGTAACAATCAACAAGAGCTGTACAACAATGTCAATGCCTGTCAGAATGGTATGAACGGAAAGAATGATATGGGTGTTGTTAATGTGTTGCCATCATCAGCTGGATCATCGACCTGTTCATCAAACAGTTCCACATCGTCACAATCATCGAAGAGTGCCGTCATGACACTGCCCGAACTAATTAACATCTGGAAACGCAACGATGCCACACCGGTTGATATTGATGAGGGTTTAGGCGATTCACCACAGGTTTGTAATTTTATACCCAAACTCAACAACTCAATACAATTCAAAACAATTTTCAACTTAATCAAACTTATTTATGTAATATGTGGAATGTTTGGCCCGAAATTCAATCGAGAGAGTGGGAAAGATAGAGAGAAAATTCGGTTGAAATTCAAAACCAAATTTTCCATTGCAATTCCAATCGAATTACACATGCACACACCAAAAATGCATGGAAATTTTGCAGTTTAGAGTTGGAAAATTCAATTTTCGCATCACACTAAAACCCGCCAAAAACTTACTCTTTTGTTCATTTCTCATACAAAACACAGCCGAATATTTGGTCGATGCCAACACCAGGACAATCATTTGGATCGAGCGCATCACCGACTGCATCCGTCAGCCCAACCGATTCATTGCTCGCCTCATTCAATTGCAAAAACAATGGCATGCAACCGAATGGCATCAATATCAATACACTTGTCGGTTTGAATAATATGAAAGGCGTCGTCAATTCAATGAACGGCAATATGAATGGCGTTGGTACGATTTTGTGCGGCACAAAGAATGTGACGGGCGGTGGGCCACAGCAGCGCGAATGTATGGTTTGTGGTGACAAAGATGTAAGTGCTGCCTTAGTACCATGCGGCCACAATATGTTCTGTTTGGATTGTGCAAATCGTATTTGTGCCAGTGGCGAATCGGCCTGCCCAATTTGTAACGAAACCGTCATTCAAGCCATTCGAATCATTGCTTAAAAACACAGTGGGCAACGTCACGTAAGCTCATCGAGACACGAGAGAGAGAGAGACACGATGAAGACAACGAACATGAAGATGATGGAGCGACAAAAGCACGAGAAAAGACAAGAAACTTTGACACACCAATTCAAACGCGTTAAAATGAATTTAGTAGTAATTTAACAGACATAAAAGAAAATTCTCAAATCAAAAAACAAACTTAAAGAAAAAAAAATCATTGATCGAAAACACACCGCAGAGGCAACTTAATATAACTTTGAATGTATTTTCGTTTTTTGGAGATTGTATCGATAATTATTGTGGCCGATGGCCCGTCAATTCAAACTATTTATATATCTTACGTACGAAATGGACTCAACGACGAAAAAAATTAACGTTTTCATTTGACATAACAACAAACAAACAAAACAGAGATAGGAGGACAAATTTAAACGCGATATCTACCTTAACTCTAAGAGGCATCACATGGCAGCTTGCTGCATATGTAGTGTATTTTCACTCATTCAATTGAGTTATACTGCATTTATATTCGAAGAAGATGAAAAATTTGATGAAAAATACGTTTACAACCAAAATTTACAATTTAAGCAAAGAAAAAAACCATCATTCTGACGAAAAAAAATCTACAACAATTCGCTCTCGACAAAAAAGAAAACACAATTTTTCAAACTAAAAAAAAGAAAAATAACAAAAAAATTTATTATGAATAGCTTATAAAGTAACGAACAAATAATTTATATTTGAATATATTTTAGAGATGATTAATATCTAAAGAGATGAGTGGAGAATGGCACGAAAAAGGTCGGCGATCCGGCGAAACCGACTCTCCTAAAGAAATATAGGCAAAAAAATCGTGGCAAATATTGGTTCCTTAAACGCAAATAATTTTGAGGCTTTGTATGAAGCCACACACACTCGAAAAAACAAAACAAAACCAAGCAAGCATTTAGAAAAAGACATGTTTTTTTTTATTAAACAAAAAGATACATTTTAATCTAATTTATTTTATAACAAGTTATCTAAAGAAATCGTAAAGATGATTAAAAAAATCGAGATTATTGTTCAGTTCAAATTTTTTTATATTTATTTTTCAAACACAATCCACTTCGATATTGGCAAACGATTATGTCACACACACACCGCAACATGTTCGGACAGTAGAGAAGAAACGGAAAATTTAAACAAAAAAATTTAAAAACATTAGGCGCTAGCACTTAATTGTAGAATTGTTTAGCAAAAAAAAATAAAAAATCTAGGAATGATAACGAACAAACCCAAAAGGCAAAATTACGAAAATAAAAATTGATAGAGCATAGTTAAAATAGACAGAGTGAGATGGATTTTAAGAGAAAAGCACAACAATCCAGTGCAAATGATTCTAAATAGAAAAAAAAACGAAAGACAAATTACATTGAAAAATATACACACAATTTGCCGTTTTCGATATTTCCCATATAATTGGCAGCCGGTTTGTAGAGAAAAAAAATGCTTCGGAATTCTGAGCGCCTGTTAATGGGACCGAAATCGGTGAAGAAAAAAATTAAATACAAACCCGCATCAGATAAATGCTGAAAGAAAAAAAAACGACACATAACAATACAATATCATGAAAATTACCGTTTTCCCATCATATATTTAAAATAACAACAACAACAACCGAACCAAACAATACTTCACCAATATGAAATGATTCACATTCTTTCCGCTTTCAATGGGCATTTCGATTATGCCATCAAATTAAATTTCAACCCATGCTCAGCTTCCAACCATCCTCTCATCATCCCTAATTTCTTAGCCGAAAGTTGCCCCATTTTGTTTTTTTTTTCTTTTTCGACAAAAGGAGAAAAAAAACGTACGATACACACACACATTTGCGTGTGCGGATATTCATTTTTTTGTTCATTTTTATTATTAAAGAAAAAATAAATAGAAAGAGAGAGATAGAGATTGATAAAAAGATTCACAAAATATTAACTATTAATTATTATTATTATTATTATGATTATTGAGTATATTTGTATTATTTTTGTTTTCGTTTTATTTTTGAGAGACTGTTTGTTAATTAATTGAAAAGGGAAGAGAAAAGAATAAATAAATGCGAATGAGGAAGCAAGAGATAGAGATAGAGATAGAGGTGGCAATCGTGAGATGAAAACCTTTTCTTTTCTACTTCATCTTTTTTTTTATTTTGAATTAAGAGGACAATTTATTAAACAGATCATATGTATTAGATTTAAATGAGATTTAAAAACAATAACAACAACAACACATACACACTCACGTGAGAAGAAAAAAGTGAAAAATTATTACAACAACAAAAAAAAACAAATTTAACCTATTTATTTGTGAGACAATATAAATTATATAAAGATTAAATGGAGATGAATCTATTTGAAAGAAAATGAATGAAAAATAAAATAATAATAATTCCACACGTTTAATTAGACTCATTCGGCCGAGAGAGACAGAGTGTGAGTTCTTTGCTATGAAATTGTGACCACACCATATCTGGAGTGGTTGAAATTTTGTTGTGATCAAATTCCACTTCGAATCCGGCCGATATGTATAAAATCAACATATAAAACTGAATAAATGTATATTTATTTTTTAAGTAACACACAGAGACATTGACAGAGATGAAGAAAATGGAGATGAGCCTCTACTTTAATTACTGAATGAAGATGAAAAATACACAAAGATTTGATGAAATGCATGTTTTTTTTTTTGCCTTTTTTGTTTGTTTATGCAAATTTTATTTGTTTTTAGTTTGAATGCGACGCCCCGTCGAATACATCAACATCGGTTCGCGAAAAGCGATCATGATTTTGGTGCATTTAAACGCGTCACACTTTTCTTTTCCTTTTTTTTTTTGAACATACAAACCCGTTTATTATTAACGCAGAAATAAACATACCTAAAGACTTTATATTTGTGAACATTGGAGATGATGGTGAAAAAATGAAGAAGCAAATATTTATGAGAAATATTTAACGTAAAAAAAAGAATACAGAAAATATATGATTATTCTAATGGATTAAGGACAAATTGCACACACAGCCTCCCTCTCCATACAATGACCGGAGTTTAGTTAAATGGAATTAACAGCTAACAATCCACTCTCATTTTTGGCGCTTTACAATCAACGACCAATTTCAATATGACCATTCGGATGGATAACGAAACAAACAATTTTAAGATTCTTGAATCAAGAACGAATTGAATAAATATCCTCAAACTCAATTGACGGATTCGGCGACTATCAAGAATTCTACGAGAAATAATTTCCGTTAAATTTTTATCGCGAATTTAAATCACGTACAAGCTAGGTTTTTCAAATGAAAACTTTTTCAGTTGCTTTTCGCTATCCTTTATTCAATCAGGTTATTACCAGGTTCTTAGTGCTAGGAAACGATATCGATTGAACTCAAAATGGACTCATGCCATGACTGAAAACCAAATGAATTCACCATCATCATTTTTGAATTTGGTTTTTTATCCTCAAAATTTGCTTTGAACAAAAAATTTGTTCGGATTTGACTAGATTCTTGGTGTAGAGAATGAATGAAGGGCATGCTATGCATGTAAAGTTCAATAAAACTTCTGAAATTCACAATTTTTTCACTTCAAAATGATCTGAGGTCTATGCTGCATAGTTCGTTTAATGAATTTCGTCAAAATTGAATCAGTTCAAAACTAAACTCCATCGCCGGCAAGCGAGATTCAGATGAATTAATTTCAGAATTGATATTGGCACCTGAAAAGAGCGGGATTCAAATCTAGATTCGAATTTATGAATCAATCCACTGAAATAAACCGAATCGATCGGTTTTTTCACTCACCATCACCAGCATTGAAATGGTCGTCTTGAATTGTCAATAGCCCAAATGTTTCAAGCTACAAGAACAATTTCTATTAATTTGCAATTTACAAACTCAATCACAACACCCACGCCCACATACACACATTCAAACGGAAAGGAAGAGAAAAAATCGTGACAAATTCAATAATAACTGATTAAAAAAAAAGAGAAAAGACAAGAGTATATATTATTATATGTCAGATACAAAAAAAAAAATGATCTATATTATATTATTATATTATATTCTATATGCATAGGTTTAGAATGGAGAGACAACATGACGGCTCATTCAGAAAAAAAAACTAGCGAAACCCCGTTTTTTTTCTTTGAAAATCCACACGTTAGACATAAAAATCAAGCCCCTTTAATTTTTACAGTAAACTATATACGGCAAAACACCAGGCAACAAAACAAACACACCGGAACATAATTGGTCACATTTATGTTTCATATGCTCTATATGTAAATAAGTCGATCGCTTGGTGATCGACGCTGCAAAAACCAGAGAGATAAAGAAGAAATTAATAAATATAAGCGAGGATTAATGTTAACGCGCCATGTTATATAGTTCATCGGCAAAGAGCGATAAAAACGGAATAGGAAAGAAAAAAAAAACTTATAAATAGGCAATTAAGAGGATGAAGAGAAAATAAAAATACTCTCAAGGAGAACACTCGTACTTAGGTTAACTACAGTTATAAAGATTATTTAATGAGAAGAAAAAAAACTCATCAAATATGCAGCAACACTGTTTAGATTTAAACAATTGTGTAAATTTATGAGAGAAAATAAGACAGATTCACACACACACACACACACATGCAGCACATACACAATGGCACATTCGACCGACGAAATGTGTCGCAAGACATTTAGCAAGCAACATTAGGTTTAGGTCCAAAGAGGATGGATTCTATTTGTGAACCGAGATAGATCGCGCTGAATACCACATTTGCCACGACGTACCACATTCTCAACACACACAAAAAAATGGACATTCATGGTTGAAATTGCTTCGATGGCATGAGCCGAATCGCAACCAAAGCGAAAATAGTGTGAAAATAAGAACAGCACAAATTCAATACCCCTGATCATTATCAGTTAAAGGATCAGGAGAACAAAGAAAGCTCAATATTTTCATTATTGAACATTTATATAGCGAGTAATAGAAAATGGGCAGAACACATGAGTGAAGCGCTTTTTGCCAATGCAAAATCCGTATATAATTGAATTTAAGGCATATTCATCTATTGCATAACACAAACACACACTATTTATCCAAATCTCCAGATCTAATTTCTTTTTTCCATATACATACATATATTTCGCCACATTCTCTCATGATACACACAGACCATATTTCGGTAACACATACATTTTCCAGCGTATTTCCATTTCACAACGCGACAAACGAATAAAAGCAAAACTTTGACAAATGACGTTATCATTGCGCGTATTTTTTAAACCAACCTCAAATATGAAAACACCTTTTATGGCGATCATTAATTACCCATTATATTATTAAATCTATAAATATTTATATATATATTTGTATATGAGAATAAAAGAAAACAAATTAAAGATATTATTGAATCATCTATTGTATAATGATGAAAAAGCGATGCGAAGGATCAGCTGATATGGAGCTATCTCACGGCTCACCGTTTGAATACGGCATAATAACGAGAAGAAAAAAAAAACCTGAAACGGTGAACGATGCTCCAATCATATGCTGATCACTTGGCAACACTTTTTGCAACAACCGGCTCAATCCGGTTGGCAGTCGGTCCAACCCGGTTCAGCTAAGAAAAATTGAGTTATTTGTAAATTTGAAACACTGACGGATTTCAATCTCTATAAAAAAAACAAACGCAGAAAGCAAGACAGAAATATTTGAACATAGAAAATAATCCATAAAAAAATGTAAAAAAAATTTCTATATTATTATTATCGATGAGAGTATGAAACTAAGCAGTAAAAAAAAAACCAGAAGAAAGCCATTAAAGCACATTTTGCTGCTTTGTCGCAGGCCATATTCGATAGTTTAGTGGATTTAGAGACGTGTTTTTATTTGAGAAGAAAGAAGTGAATTTGTTTTATGTGTCGAGTTAAGACTAATACAGGCATACCTACACCATCCAATCAATATTGGATGATGACCAATCGGCATTTTTGTTTCAAATTTTATTTTATCGCTTCGCAGAGAGAACCTA